ACACACACACACACACACACACACACACTCTCTCTCTTTCTCTTTCTCTCTCTCTCTCTCTCTCTCAAAAATAAACATCAAAAAATTTTAAATCAAACTGGGGCGCCTGGGTGGCGCAGTCGGTTAAGCGTCCGACTTCAGCCAGGTCACGATCTCGCGGTCCGTGAGTTCGAGCCCCGCGTCGGGCTCTGGGCTGATGGCTCAGAGCCTGGAGCCTGTTTCCGATTCTGTGTCTTCCTCTCTCTCTGCCCCTCCCCCGTTCATGCTCTGTCTCTCTCTGTCCCAAAAATAAAAAATAAAAACGTTGAAAAAAAATTTTTTTTTAATTTTAAATCAAACTACAGAAAGACATTTTTTAAGAAACAGAAAATAGAATATGGATTAGATATTATTAAGGAATTACTGATAAATTTGCTAGGTAAAATAATGGCATTGTGGTTATTTATAGTCTCTGGCAGAGAAATTCAAGGATGCTCCCAAATAATCCCTACTTCCTAGTTAGTAATCTCTAGTAACTTACTTCTACCCACAGAGTACAGTAAAGGTAATCGGATATCATTTCTGAAACTAGACTACATAAAACTGTGATTTCTGCCTGCTAGCATATTCTCTCTCTCTACTGGCTGCAATATTGTGATTTATAAGAAATATACATTTGGACATTCAGATGATGAAAATATATTCCCAAAAGTTATCTGATCTTCATACAGAGCTCCTGAAACTCAGAATTTCCAGAGATGAGAGCAAAATGTGTCTTTTGTTATGTTAATGAAGGCGACTCTGGGACCCCATCCAAGGGCTGTGGCTGGTTGCCAGGAGGACCAACTATGTGATTACAGGGTTGGAGCTTTCAGTCCTACTGTACCATCACTTCTATGGGAGAGGGGCTGGAGATTAAATCAGCCAATGGCCAATGGCTTAATCCATTAACACTATGCAAAGAAGCCTCCATAAAAAACCTAAAAGGACTGATTTCAGAGAGCTTCCAGGCTGGCAAACACCTGGAGATTAGGGAAAATGGCTTGTCTGAACAGGGTATGGAAGCTCCCTGCCCTTTCTCCAAACCCTGTCTGATATACCTCCATCCGGCTGTTGATTTACATCTTTTATCATATCCTTTAATAAACTGGTAAATGCAAGTGTATTCCTAAATTACATGAGCCACTCTAAAGAAAATTAATTGAACCTAAAGAGGAGGTCACTGAAACCTCTGATTTCTGCAGCTGGGTAACAAAGTACAGCCTGCAGTTTTTGACTGGTTTCTGAAATGGGAGCTGGAGGGCAGTCTTGTAGGACTGAACCATGAGCCTATGGAATCTGATATTATATTCAGATAGACAGTGTGACAATTGAGTTGAATTCTGTGACACCCTGTGGGTGTCTGAGAATTGCTTAGTGTTAGGGGTCGGGAGACACACATCTCCTCCTCCAACAATGAAACTGGGAACACCAACTCTAAAAGACTGGTTCTGATGAACCAAAACACCATGTTAGAGAGGCCCTCAGAGCAATGAACTAAGGGCAGCCTTGGCCAACAGCTTTCAAGAAACTAAATCCTACCAACGAATATATGAGCTTGGAAGCAGATTCTTTTCCACTAAATACTATACATGAAACCCCGGCTCTGGCGAACACCTTGACTTGTAAGAGACCTGAAGCATAAACTATATATAAGCTATGTCTAAAATCCTGACCCTCATAAGCTGTGAAATAACAAATATGTATAGTTTGGAGCTGCTAATTTGTAATAATTTGATATGGAGCAATCAATAACTTACGCAGTGTGCTTGATGCAAATTAAAAGAAATACTTAAGAATGAAATGGCATAATTCTATTTGTCTTAAAATATACAAGAAAAAGAAATGGGTGCAACAGATTTAAGAAAAAAAAAGTCTGGCAAAATGCTGATGTTGTTGAAGGTGGCAACATTTATATTCATCTTACTGTACTGCTGGGTATGTTTGGAAAATGTTCACTGAAAGGTTTTTTGAAAGAATAAGTGTGACAGCAAATACACAAAACTCTCAGGAATTTACCTATGCTGAGAAGCAGATAAATGTAAGATGTAAGGTAAAGGCAAAGATTTTTAAAGACTAATGCAAGTTGGTCTGATGGGCTCTGAATGGGAGGCAGGAGAAGGAATCAAGTGGTTCATAACCAAGTAAAGATAAGTGAATGAACAAAATCAGAATAGGACCCAAAGTATACATGAAAGAACAAATTTAAAATGATCTCTCCCACTGAGAGACAAAAAAAAGGAAATTAAATGCAGATAAATTTCATAATGCTTAAGTGTAAAATGTACATAAAACAATATCACTTCCATTAACAAAAAACTTATATTAAGACTAAATGAAATTTAAAATTGTTTCACATTGTTAATGTATTCTAATCATGCAGAAACTATGACTGGATTTATAAAAATGTAGATTCTAGGGGCGCCTGGGTGGCGCAGTCGGTTAAGCGTCCGACTTCAGCCAGGTCACGATCTTGCGGTCCTTGAGTTCGAGCCCCGCGTCGGGCTCTGGGCGGATGGCTCAGAGCCTGGAGCCTGTTTCCGATTCTGTGTCTCCCTCTCTCTCTGCCCCTCCTCTGTTCATGCTCTGTCTCTCTCTGTCCCCCAAAAAATAAATAAACGTTGAAAAAAAAATTTAAAAAAAAAATGTAGGTTCTAAACTCAGCTCTAATGCCTATTTCTTCATAAATAACCTGAAGCTGTTATACTCTTATTGGCCTCAGTTTTTGCATTTGTAAACTGATACCTCACTTTGAAGAGTTACTGTTGAGAATTACAGGATGTCAATGGCCCAGCAAATAGTAGGCCATCTGCTTATCATCATCCAGAAAAAAACACAAGTCAGCTTATTATTATCAAACACTTCAAAATGTTTGAACCTGTAGTAATTATTTCTAAGGACTCAAAGCACTTTGGGAACACATACTGACTCACACACTCCACACAAATGAAGCATAGCAACGACTGGGAAAACAGAATGACAACAAAATAAACAAACATTCTCACATAGAAGAATGGCAAAACAGGAAACTCATTAGCCAAAAATCAAACTGGAAAGTTAGTGGTTTGGTGTCTCAAAAAAAAACAAAAAACAAAACAACAATGACAAAAAAACCAAAAAAACACCACAACCAGAAAAATCTACTCAAATATTCACATAAAAATAGTCCTCATTTGCTAAATATCTCAAAATGCTTGAATCATCAATCTTTTCCAAAATTTAACAATTGGCCCTTCAGAACATATTTCACAATTAAGAATTGCCCCTTTTGGGGCGCCTGGGTGGCGCAGTCGGTTAAGCGTCCGACTTCAACCAGGTCACGATCTCGCGGTCCGTGAGTTCGAGCCCCGCGTCGGGCTCTGGGCTGATGGCTCAGAGCCTGGAGCCTGTTTCCGATTCTGTGTCTCCCTCTCTCTCTGCCCCTCCCCCGTTCATGCTCTGTCTCTCTCTGTCCCAAAAATAAATAAACGTTGAAAAAAAAAAATTAAAAAAAAAAAAAAGAAAAAAAAAAAAGAATTGCCCCTTTCTACCTAAAGCAAAGACCATTTAAGTTAGACATGATCTAGGAAAAGTATACTGCTGTTTAATATGCACATTCTTCAAACCTCACACAAAATAACAATACATCCACAGAGGAAAAAGATTTAAGGTACCAAACAGTTTCCAAGCACCCTCAAAGGCTTCATTATATGAAAATAATTTTACAGAAACAATCACTATCATCTTCTGACTAAATCAAGTTCTCAAAATATCTTGCTGGGCAATAATTTAGCTTGCTTGTTTGAAGTTACTCTATGTGTGAGGAGGGCACTTATTTAAAAAACCGTTCTGTAATATCAAGTCTTTCCTTTCCTGGGCCAAAAAAAACCTTAAGTATCTAATCCTCTTATTTTCTCTGAAAATAAATAAAAGGCTGGAGAAACTAAGTAACTGATACCAAATTCCTAATTGCTGGCAGAACTGAAATAAGAGCCCAAGTCGGCTGTCCTTGTTCAGTGTTCCCTTTATACTATACTGTTTTGATTTTTTCATGTTTTTCCTTTGTATTAGATCTAACTTTTTCCTAGATTAATGAATGAATTTAAATTGTACTAATGGTTGGGGCACCTGGGTGGCTCAGTCAGTTGAGCATCCAACTTCGGCTCAGGTCTCGATCTCACAGTTGATGGGTTCGAGCCCCCTGTCGGGCTCTGCACTGACAGCTCAGAGCCTGAAGCCTGCTTCAGATTGTGTCTCCCTCTCTCTTTGCCCCTCCCTTGCTTCCGTGCTGTCTCTCCCTCTCTCAAAAATAAATAAACATTTAAAAAAATTGTACTAATGGTGAATAGTCAAAACACTATTAATTAATCTAAATCTGTTCATTTTATGAGAATTCTCCCCTTATCCCTGTAACAGGTATCTCTGACCAAGGCACAGTATTTTTCAAATTCTATTCCTCAGATACACTCCAGAGGCTCTACAAATATTAAAAATATGTATTTACTCTTAAAACTAAAAAATTCAAAAGCATTATGGACCAAATATTACCACAATGGATACCACCCTCCATAAAATTTGTGTATCTTGTTTTTGTATCACTTTCAGAGTAAAAATTCTACCAACATCTCTATACCCATATGAACTTTTCAAAGTGTGTCACTGATTAATAAGACTGTAATTGTATACTAGTCTTTTAAAAGTTCAGTTCTACTTGTCTATTCATGTAAAATTCACAAATAAATTCAGAACTAATAACGTAATTAATAGCTGGACAAGGCTCAGGGCTGTTTGGTTTTAATGCTCTCCTCAAAGATTAAGATACGTCATATGGCAAGTCACATTAGAGATCACTATAGTACAGAAAATAAATCTGAAGTGCTTTTCTAACTTATTAATTATATGGAATGTGAGTTTAATGACATAACTTTAAAAACAAGTTTATTACAGATAATCAACTTTTCTCATTCAACTTTTCAGACGACTCACATTTACATATCCTATACTGAGAGCTCTCAGCCTTTCCTTTATCAAATTCACAATGTTCATCAGCTGATAAACTTAGAGTTACTGCGCCAGCCAACATGCCACATTCTAACATGACCCACTTGCCAGCCAACATTTGTTTCCCAAGCTCTGCTATCTTTATAGTTCAGGGCCCATTTTTGCAATTTTTAAGACATTTCATTGTTTCTCTCGTATTGTTTTATAATGGATGGAAAATGAAAATACAAAAGCCTACTAGCAATATTAATTCAACTGAATGATAATGAGAATCATCAGGTAATCCAAAAGAATAAAACTTCAAATACTAAGTAGGCTTAACCAGCTTAAACATAAATGAGATGCTGATAAAACAGTCTAATGATCACATCAAATGCTAAAGCACAGGTGTGTCAGTTATGGATTTATTGACCCCCCCCCAACCTCTAAATTCACCTTTTTGCCTACTCTCTAAAATGAATTTGGGCTCTTTAGTATTTTTCCTTTGCCAGCTGGCACAATGTTAAGCTCTGTCAGTAGAGGAGGCAGGAGAGTCATCTCAGGAAGTGGTGTTTTTGCTTCCTCTTCAGGAAGTAAGGGGGGGTTTCTGTTTCCTCATTCAAGTGTGATTGCCCAGAACTTGCCGAGCTCTTACATCCTGCAGTGCAGATGCTTCTCCAGCATCCTGCTCCCACAGCGTATGTGGCTTCCCCAAAGCTCACGAGGGATGTGAGTAACTAACTTCTCTAGCACCAACCTTCTACATCAGAATGTATACTACGTGTGGGTACTTTTTTCTGTCTTGATATTTAGCAGGCCTTTTCCAACTAATAACATAAATCTTACTTTGGCTCAAAATTTTCCTCTTTTTTAAAAATTTCTTCCTTCTCTATTTTTCCTGACATCTTTCTCCATTTACTACTAGGTAGAAGTCATGGGGCTGCTAGATATTGTTGTACTGGTTGTACTTTGCACAAGAAAATCCCACTGAGGAGCAAAAGCTGAAATCCAACCTATGTCCCACTTACCAAATTCTGCATCCTGGTCAAAAAGCATCATCTGTACATTAAGCCATGTGACATGAAAATGAGAACATGGACCTTCTGGATCAAGAGTAGCTTTCTCATCTCAATAATATTTTCCTTATCTTTTTATTTTTGTTCTAGATTTCAAATCTTTTTATATTTATGTAACTATAGAAAAAATAGATGTGTCTGTACATAAATGTAAAAAAATTATCATTTAAAAAAATTATCATTTTTGTGGGAGCTTCATGGTAGCTCTAGTATTTTGGACCCGGGCCCAAAAGAATAGATTTTCCAAACCGGAGGCATCAGGACTTTTAAAAGCTCACCAAGTAATGTGAATGTGCAAACAAGACCAGGCTCTACTGCTATACTTTAACAGTGCTCAAGCTTTTTTGCTCAAATACTCCCTAAAATAATTGTGAAAATCTATGCATATCCTCACCATTTTTAAATTGGCAAACAAAATTTTTCATAGCTTACAATGACTACAGAAGTTGCAATTCTAATGTACTCTAAATATTGTCATTTTTAATAAAGCTGTGATATTTGTTTTCAAAAATATCAATAGAACAAAAATACCATCATCTATTTTTTAAAACATATAGACTCTTCCCACATAGTCTAAAATTTGTATTATTCTTGTTTTTCCATAAATTTCCCCCACAGAATTTTTTTGTGTGCATGGAGCACAACGCAGAGCTTGAACTCACGACGCTGAGATGAGATCAAGAGTTGGATGCTTAACCCGCTGAGCCACCCAGGTGGTCCCAACCTCACAGAATTTTAACTAATGTAATGTTCTTTTATGTTGAAGGTCTTTATGACTTCTGTGGAAAAAGAGGATGTACATTAAAATTAAGCTTTTTTTGTTTTTTAACATGAGTTTCTAAATAATTTTAAAAACTTATCTTGGATGGGGCATCTGGGTGGCTCAGTCGGTTAAGCAGCCAACTCCAGCTCAGGTCATGATCTTGCAGTCTGTGAGTTCGAGCCCCGCATTGGGCTCTGTGCTGACAGCTTGGAGCCTAGAGCCTGCTTCGAATTCTGTGTCTCCCTCTCTGCCCCTTCCCCATTCACACTCTGTCTCTCTGTCTTTCAAAAATGAATAAATGTTAAAAAATTTTTTAAATAAAAAACAAAAAATAAAAATTTATCTTGGATACTATTATCAATATTATAAGTACATTATTGACCAAAACAATGTAAATATATTACAAAATATCGAGTAAAATGCTATTAGAAATGATTCTGAAAGACACAGGCCAAATTTGTTAACAATTATTTCATGTGTATATAGATGAATATCACTGCTAGAATAAGATGGAACTGACCATGCTTTTGAGTAACAACGCCCTAAACCACAGGCAAGTTCTCTGGCAGTTCAATTTTTAAGAATGGATACACAAGAATAAGAAGAGTCAGGAAACTGAATCCCTTAGAACTATTTGTGCCTATGTACCCCCTGGAAAGTCTGTACTCCCAGGGATGAGCACACCACACTCTGAAGACTGCTGTTCAAATTAGCTACTAAACATTAAAACTGCCGGGTTTTAAGAATGTTTAAATTGTTAAATTATAAAACACAGACTTCACTCACATCAGTTCTCTACTTAAAATCCTTTGATGGCTCCTAACTTTCCAAAACATAAAATTTCAAAGCATAACGTGGGATACAGGACCCTTTGTAACTTGTGTTTATAATCAAACAAATCATACATACACACAACCTCTATTTCTTTTTTTTTTTTTTTAATTTTTTTTTCAACGTTTTTTTAATTTATTTTTGGGACAGAGAGAGACAGAGCATGAACGGGGGAGGGGCAGAGAGAGAGGGAGACACAGAATCGGAAACAGGCTCCAGGCTCCGAGCCATCCGCCCAGAGCCTGACGCGGGGCTCGAACTCACGGACCGCGAGATCGTGACCTGGCTGAAATCGGACGCTTAACCGACTGCGCCACCCAGGCGCCCCTATTTCTTTTTGTTTAAAAGTAATACTTATTTGCTAAAATGAAATAAAATTTAAAACTTTGCACAACACCCAAAGAAAAGGCATTAAAAAAATAAAACAAACCCAATTACTACAATCCAGGCATAATCACTATTAAGACTCTGGTAAATGTCCTTGCAGTTTTTCCATATGCATAAGCATAAAATGTGAGTGTGCGTGTGTGACAAAAAAAAAATGGGGAGTTTTTTTTGCCCTGTGTTTTTTTAATATGTCATTATATCTGAAGCATTTTATCTCCAGAGTTAAAAAAATATTCTAGAGTTTATATTATAATGGCATCCTAAGAGCGCATCATAATTCAAGAACACCTCAAAGAACTGTTTTTTAATTTTTTTTAAATCTTTATTTATTTTTGAGAGAGAGAGACAGTATGTGAGCAGGGAAGGAGCAGAGAGAGGGGGAGATACAGAATCCGAGGCAGGCTACAGGCTCTGAGCTGTCAGCACAGAGACTGACGTGGGGCTCGAACTCACGAACTGTGAGATCATGACCTGAGCCAAAGTTGGACGCTCAACCGACTGAGCCACCAGGTGCCGAAAAAAACTGTTCTATTAAACTCAGTAAATCTCAGAGCAACACATCACTATCAATATCATTGTGTATTTGTTAGAGGATTAATTTGCAATCCATGCATTATATTTTAGATAAATATAAAAATAAGCACTGCCCTAAATGCCCTGGAAAAGCAGGTTAGAGTACCATAAAAAATTCAAATTATCTTAACATCCTTAAAAGAATGAGATAACATTCAAAGAGTTTTGTTTTCATTACACTAATTTTTTTCATAGTCTCCTAAACGCATCTGCAATAAATGCATGCTTATATCTCCTAACACAGAGAATCATAAAGGAAGTATAAATAAAGAAGAGTTCACTGACAAATACAGAAAAAAGGGGGAAAGATGTGAAAGGGGAAGATGACAAATAGGGGAACACTATTAGCCGAGCTACCTTCAGTAAGTAAACTCTTTCGTAATACTGTAACTACAAAATAAATCTGAACAAAAAATAAAAAGACTTACTTAACGCATTAAAAAGTGGTGGCTTTGGACAGAAATATGGGCAAGGATATCAGTACACACATGTAATATCTAAGGAAGAAGTATCTGACCAATGACCCAGCCTGTATCAAGCATCCTGTAAAGCACAACTATTTGACAAAAGTCTATCTCCAAGCACCTCCCTGGTTCTGATACACTACAGTAACCAGACAAATCCCAAATGCTAACACAATTTCCCAAATAGAAGTTCTTGAATATGCATGAGAGTAAGGATAAATTGCTGCATTCAAGAAATTTGAAGGATAATAAGTTATATCTGTACACAAAGGCAGGCACAGCTCATTTCCTCTTCCAAGAAGTCTCTCCTCAAGCCCTGGCCAACAGTAACAGCTCCATCCCCTGAATTTCACTTCTGATTTCTGTAACATTCACTGCTTTTATCATACATCTAAACTTAGCTTTTGTTACCTTCAATATGTATCGTTTGTGCTACTGTATGTATATAGATAGCTCACCAACAAAGATTCTTCTCTTATACCTTCAAATAGGTCTGGCTATTACCCAGGAGTTAACAGGCACCAATAACTTATGGTAAGACAGCCAAAAATGTGAAAAGCCATAACAGCAATTTGAATACCACAATGCAGCAAAAAACATATAAATAATAACCAGTTTTTTCTTTAACCTGTCACCTACTGTGGCATTTTAGATTATACAAAATGGACATTATATAGATGTCAAAGCTTAAACCTTCAGACCTAGATGTATGAATTTTCCAATTATCTGAAATTGCCTCTATGTTCTGTAAGAAACCATTTTGTCAAAAGTTATTCTCAGCTCTTTTAAAATCTATGCCTCCATTTGTTTAAAGAAAGACTTCATAAACAAGTTTCATAAATATCTTCCACTCAGTATTTCAAATGTAAGCAAACCATATAAACTTTAGAAAAAAAACATACCAGGGGCGCCTGGGTGGCTCAGTCGGTTAAGCGTCCGACTTCGGCTCAGGTCATGATCTCACGGTCCGTGAGCTCGAGCCTTGCGTCGGGCTCTGTGCTGACAGCTCAGAGCCTGGAGCCTG